GAGTCATCTTTGCATCAGTTACATTTCCAGCTCAGGAAAATGTCCAGATTGTCATTTTGAGCCTTATTTGCAGTGCTGACAGCATTTCTAGTTTGGAATTATATATGGAAAGTATAGAGAGAATGTGAAGCTGATACGCTGCTGTGTTAAATTTTGGGTAAATGCACCATGTTTGGAGCATCATGCTCATTATCCATCATATACATTACATACTTCTAGAAATGTATTTAAAAACAATTAATACTGCCCCATAGAGCTACATACAGCAGCGGATGCTTCAACCAAGTCCAAATGTTCAGTTTGAGCACAAACAGGAGAAAAATTGATTCATCTGCAAGGTTTGTGTTATCTGCTGGCAGCTGCTATCTAGCGATAGCTCCTGAATTGAAAGCTTAGATCACTGTGCAGAGCCATTTTTCAGTCTGTTGCTCTAGTAGACTGGACCTCTAGGTCCACTCCAAGTTAGCTGCAGTCAGTAAGGTTATCCATTCTGAATTACCACAGTCAGTACAGTGAGAGCTCAACGATTTAAGCAACTTTTTAGTGAAACAAAACAAGAATGTATACAGATAAATATAGTGTGTACTTCTGAAAATGGTGCCCCCATACCAACATTTGATTTGATTTATTCTTTCAAGCATGTAAAGACAGTTGATATGTCAACACACATAATTTTACACATATCCAACAAATGCTAATCCAATATCAATTTGCTTATACCTAGTACATGCTTGAATGGAGTAGGAAGAAGTCAGACTTATCCAGTCCTACCCCCTGACATCATCTTACCATCATTGGTTTGCAAGCAGTGTCTCTACATAGATAATTTTGTTCTACACCACACAAGTAATATATTAAAGAATTATTACAGAGTATTAACATTCATACACCACACCCACAATGTTCCATCTAATTAATCATTAAGCCTGTTCTTGCTTATATCTTGATTGACACATACCTTTATATTTATGTTTAAACTTGTCAATTCTATTACTATTTTTTATGTCCGCGCTTAAATTATTCCATAGTTTTACCCCACTTATGGAAATACACAATCTTTAGCTCCCCCAATTTTCAATTGAAGTTCATTATCTAGTCTACGATTCCCAAATACCATAAATTTAGTTTTATCCAAATTCAGAGATAGTATATTACTATCACACCATTTCTTTATCTTCTCAAGTTCCTGTGAAACCCGTCCAGAGAGTTGCTGTAGGTTTTCACCCGATGCCCATATGGTAGTGTCATCAGCAAACAAAACCACTTTCACTAAATCAGAAACCTTGCATATATCATTAATGTATAATATAAATAATTTAGGTCCCAAAACAGAACCCTGAGGCACTCCACATACAATCTCCAGCTCACTCGATTGGTATTCACCCAACTTCACACTGAGTTGGCAGTGAAGTGGACAATATATTTTCATATTTGTAGGTAATGTAAAGTCCCAAGCCTCATGTTGCCATTGCTTTTACCACCATCACTTTGTATGTTTAATGGGTGTGTTCAATAAAGACATGAAAGATCATGACTGTTTTATCAGCTTAGAAATAGTGTGCAAGTTGAAATTTGTGACTTTAGTGAAGATCAGATCACATTTCATGACCAATTTATGCAGAAAACCAGGAAATTGCAGTGTCATTACTTTTTCTTGTGACTGCATACTGAGTAAAACAATAAAATTCAGTGTACTATACAGTATAAGAACCCCCAGAAAAAAGTATGTTAATTAACATAATAATCAGGGTAGTGTCATTAAGGTACTAATAGTACCTAGGTTCATTTTGGTTGATCAAACAATACTTACAAGTTCTTCAGGCATTTTGTCCAAGGAATGAGCTTGACAATGCGATGCCCCTGAGACCAAGCGAAGTAGGAACCATTGGGTGCAAAGGCTACTGTCCAAGCCTCATGCCCAGACTTCTGGTCAAATGGAGCAACAGGCACCAGAAGTTCACCAATGAACTTAGCCTTAGCTGGAAAAATACCAACAACACCGTTACTTCACACTGTAAATGCTGACAGTACTGCTAACTCTTTAATATTAAGCAATCAAAACCAGATATTCAGTTAATCCAACAATAAGTTTGTTTCTGTGTTAGTAGTTTTTGTGGACTAATGTTTGAGTGAATACAGAAAACCAATTCACAACTTGAAAAAAACTTAGGAAAATCAACTGGCCTCGGTTTTTAGATTGAAGACGTTTCACCTCTCATCCAAGAGGCTTCATCAGGTGAAATGTCTTCAACCTAAACACCGAGTCCAGTTGATTTTTCTAATTTTTTTCAGCTTACTATGACCTGGATGACTGAGAATCTGCACAACTCATAACTTCTGAGCAGTGTTGGGCAAGTTACTTCCAAAATGTAATACATTGTGTATTACTAGTTACTGTCATTTCAATTAGTCATATTACAATTCTGCTATCTCTAAATTGTAATGCAGTACACTAATTTTGCATTACTTTTAATTTTACATTTACTTTCATCAAAATAACCGCATAAGTATGACTACACATTCTAAAATGCTAATATGTAGTTTATAGCAGGTCATTATACATCCAGTGGAGGGCAATGTGGCCCCTAAGGCTACCAACAGCTTAATATAAAGGGCACCATGACAGCTCATAGTGCAATACAACAAGTAACAAGCACTGTCAGAATCACAATAGATCAAAGGCTGGTAAATTATGGTAGAGATACTTTAAATATTAGAAGTCTAGGCCTATACATATAAAACACAACATAACTGGAGCCCACTATAATGTAGCCTATAGCCCAATGACATCTTTCTTTCTCTTCTTTTATTCTCTTATATTTCAAGTTCACAGCACAAAGCTGGAATGCATTAGATGGACATAGTTTATGCTTTATCAAGAATCAAAGAGCGCTCTTAGAGAATTAGGCCTCAAGGAATATGACTGTCATTTCAGTCTAACTTTACAAAAATTAACATGTAGGCTAAACATGGCCTACTATTGCTAAGAAAGAAAACAGGCCAATCAGAGGAGCCCTGTTATATGCCAAACAATGCCTAAACCAAAGGCTGGTAAAATTTAAATCACCTACAGTGGATATAAAAAGTCTACACACCCCTGTTAAAATGCCAGGTTTCTGTGATGTAAAAAAACGAGACCAAGATACATAATTCCAGAACTTTAGCCACCTTTAATGTGACCTATAACTTGTACAACTCAATTGAAAACAAACTGAAATCTGTTTTTCAGTGGGAAGTAAAAATAAAAAACTAAAATAATGTGGTTGCATTAGTGTGCACACCCTTAAACTAATATTTTGTTGAAGCACCTTTTGATTTTATTACAGCACTCAGTCTTTTTGGGTATGAGTTTATCAGCAATGCACATCTTGACTCTGCAATATTTGCCCACTCTTCTTTGCAAAAACGCTCCAAATCTGTCAGATTGCGAGGGCATCTCCTATGCACAGCCCTCTTCAGATCACCCCACAGATGTTCAATCGGATTCAAGTCCGGGCTCTGGCTGGGCCATTCTAAGACTTTTATCTTGTTCTGGTTAAGCCATTCCTTTGTTGATTTGGATGTATGCTTGGGGTCATTGTCGTGCTGAAAGATGAAGTTCCTCTTCATCTTCAGCTTTCTAGCAGAAGCCTGAAGGTTTTGTGCCAATATTGACTGGTATGTGGAACTGTTCATAATTCCCTCCACCTTGACTAAGGCCCCAGTTCCAGCTGAAGAAAAACAACCCCAAAGCATGATGCTGCCACCACCATGCTTCACTGTGGGTATGGTGTTCTTTTGGTGATGTGCAGTGTTGTTATTGTGCCAAACATACCTTTTGGAATTA